TCTGCCAAGAGCATCCCAGGCGTGTTCGATGGGATTGAGGTCGGGAGACCTTGACGGCCAGTCCATGACTCCCGCATTCTGAACGAAATTCCTTTTCAAAATTGCTGTGTGGGGTCTGGTATTGTCGTGTTGGAAGATCAAACCGGGTCCATGTGCTGCCATAAAGGGCAGAAGTTCTGGTGCCAATACCTGGTCGCGGTAAGCAGCAGCGTTGAGGTAGACACGGATGACAAGAAGCCTGGAACGTGCATTGCCAGAAAGAACCATGACACTTCCGCATCGAAATCTGTCAACTTCCTGTACACAACACTGGGCGTAACGTTCATTACGGCGCCTCCACACTCTCGCCCTACCATCAGCAAATCGAAGATTAAATCGGGATTCATCACTGAAGACGACTTGATTCCAATTCCTCTGAGTCCATCGTAAGTGTCGCTGTGCCCATAATTGACGTTGACGTCTGTGTAATTGAGTCAGAATCGGCCCGCAGTATGGCCGTCGTGCTTGAAGGTGAGCAGTTCTCAGACGGTTTCGAATAGTTTGCGCACTCAGTCTACCCCTAAACAGTTCATTTCTGGTTGATGTAGCCGTCAAAAATCGGTTACGGAGGTGACGTAAGACAATCTGACGATCCTCTGCATGTGACGTCACTCGTGGTCGACCTGGCCGAGGGCGATCAGCGGTGGTACCTGTTTGCTGTAGACGCGTCTGTAAATCATAAACAGTCCGGCGACTACAACCAATCGTCCTTGCGACTTCAGCTACGGACGTTCCCGTCTGCAACATGCCGATGGCACGTTCACGTTGCACATTTGAAAGGCGTGGCATGACAAATGGCCGTAAAGACTTTAGTTTTCTTGTGTTTTTCTTTTTTTGTTAATGACTGCTAACAAGTATGGCTGAAAACACGTGCGGTATTATGGCCACGTGACCAGTTGCACGTGAAAAAACACTTTTGCCACTATAGTGCTGTGCACATGATTTTGATCGATTCACCTGAACAAAAACGGGTGTTATCTGAAGACAATACGTGGCCATTACTGTTTAAATACACAATAAGGGCCCACAATGATAACTGGTCAAAATGTTAAAATTTTAGGATTGTGAAGTTTTTAATTTGGTTCAGTATATTATTGTGCTTCCTCACAAAGACATCATTGGTGTTAATGGTAGTTAGGCATCCTCTTTGAGAACATTTCCAATGAATGGAAGTTTGACTTCTGTCGGGTCTTAATACAATTATCCGACAAAAACCAAGTGCTGACACCTCTTAAAATTGGGAATAAATTTTCAACCAGCCTGGGTACATGCCACAGTGGAATACTGTTTCTTGTTTGGAATTCCTTCTAATTCACAAATCACACTAAATGATTGATATGATTTTGTAAGATATTGACCAATTATTTGTGTCACATGTTAATCCTCTATTGCCTCCCTATCACCACACTAGGGTGCATTTGTACCTAAAGAACAAAGGTGCTGGACAAGTCAGAAGACTCCCAATATTCCACACAATGTTTTGCATATCAGGGATTAATCCTAACGTCTTCAATGTTGTAACAAATAAGGCATAAGTTATGGACAGAAAGTCCTGTGATGCGCGCTGGTCCGCTCTTTGAAATTGCGTCAAACACAGGGAACCCATTTTAACCCCAGTGAGGTAGAATCCCCTCAGGGGCGGATTTTGTTGTTTCGGGGATGTATCGCCAGTATCTTTATCGTCTGTTTTACACTATTTCCCCTTTTCAAATTTAATTCTAGTCAACTATTTGTGATTAAGTATGCCCTAAGGAATCAAAATCTGCTAAGTTGCTATGTTGAGTTCACTTGCCCTTTCCCATTGGTGTGCTACAAAACAGCTTTAATATTGTTTTTTAAGATTTCCTGTTCTCCCAAATATGGAAAATCAACCATAAAAATTTAAAATGAAAAAATAAACATAATTTGCGTGTTTTGTTTTATTTTGTGCACGAAGAATGTGACTTGACCAGCTGTTGACAATGTAAGTAGGTACTAAATATTTCTCAGAGAGCCAACAAAAATGGCAAGAGGGAGATCAAAGACAATTAGGCCGCGGTCTTAGTATGCCCCACGAGCAACAACAACAACACATGTTCATGTACATCTCTGGAAGAACGTCTTATAACATGTGATGTTACCAGTTACAAATCATTTGCAAAATTTGGAACAAATGTACTCTTATGATATCAGGGTAGGATACCCAATATTGCATTTTCGGCTTAGCTTCATGGGACAACGCTTGCATTTATGCTCAGGATTTGCTAAGGTGTTATTCACCGACCTCGATGTGTTATATACCATTGGAAACCTTACATGAACACCTTAGTTGTTGTAAGCAGATTATTGATCTACTTGTGAACAATCATACAGAATCCTTCTTGACAACTCTGATATCTCTCACTGTTTTATGCATATAAGAGGTTCATAGTATAATGCTGAGTCGATTTTAGAACTTTTAATGAAATGGACCTATGAAACATTCAAGATGGCAACCATAAAGCTGTGCAAAAAAACCCGATTATAATGTAAATTTTATTTATTTCAGCAAATATACAAATCAATTTCTTGGACGCAGGCTTGATATTTTGACAAATTTTGCCATTTCAAGTTAAGTGTCAGATACTTTATTACAGCTTCTAGTTCAGGTGAATTTGCAGTGGGCACCAGCAAAGGTAAAAAACGAATCCACTTACTAACATTTAATTCATGCATAACTTAACTAACAAAATTTCCAAATGTGAATCGTACATCAATGGCTTATGCATTCACAGAAATAAATGATATTCCAATTACATACTTAAGTTTCTCTTACAGACAACCCAAGTGAATATATACTGAACAGCATTGAAAACGCACCACAATGAAAATGGATGTATTTTGATCCGGGCTTAAGTCATATGAAAATAGATAAGTGAATGAGTAATATACGACGTTCTGGACGAAGCATGAAGAAGAACAGCTCGTCAAAACACATTCCTAAATTTTTTGTGAGCGAAATCGCCAAAACGCAACAAATTGCGTGCACATCATGGAAAACGTGTTTTGCTTCAGGGGAAGCATGCAAAATAGGGCTATAAAAGACAGACTTTTAAAAGCCACATCACTTGTTGCTGCAGACGTAAAGGGTACTGACACAAGAAATGCCAAGATTAACAGAGGAACGTGAACTTGCCTTGGGCATGCTTCAAGGTGGTACGTCAAGTAGAATTGTTGCACAACGGTTTCGATGCCATCATTCAACAGTCCTCAGGCTACTGAGCAGATACCAGCAGACAAGAACCACCAGAGATCGACCACGTCCGGGTCAACGTCGTGTAACTACACCACGTCAGAATCGCCATATTGTTCGTCGGCATCTTCGTGATCGTACACTTCCGGCTACCAGGACTGCAGCAACCGTACAAGGCGGACGGAATTGATCAGTGCTGACACCGTACGTCGACGTCTCCGCTCAGCAGGGCTACGTGCTCGACGTCCATATGTTGGACCCATACTCACTGATCGACATCGAAATGAACGTCCGCGTTGGGCTAAAAGGCATCGTCATTGGAGATTGCGGCAGTGGCATGGTGTGCTGTTCTCTGATGAGTCCCGTTTTCATTTACGGAATGCGGACGGTCGACTGCGAGTGTGGCGTCGACGTGGAGAACGTTACCACTGCATTGTACAGACAGATCGATGGGGGGTAGGGAGTGTCATGGTGTGGGGCGGCATCAGTCATAACAATCGAACAGAGCTCCATGTTTGTTGTGGAAGAGTTAATGCCCTTTACTACAGGAATAACATATTGGCAAATCACGTCATCCCATTCTTTCATCAGCTCCAGGATATGCACACCTTCCAGCAAGATAATGCAAGAGCGCACACAGCACGTGTTTCAACACAGTACCTAGCGAACAATAATGTGCCTCTGCTTCCATGGCCAGCCCTGTCACCCGATCTATCGCCAATTGAACATCTATGGTATTACCTGGGTCAACGCCTCTCACGTCGTCCGCAAGTACAGAACCTGAGAGAACTTGAAGATACGCTACGTCAAAAGTGGAATGCCCCAGAACACTATTCGCTGACTTATTCGATCAATGAGACGTTGCATGGCCTGTGTTGCTGTCAATGGCGGACATTCCAGATATTGACTTTTCATTTTAACCCTATGTGTCTTCCTTACACTGATGACGTAAATGTAATTACTGTGTGGTATTCCCGTTTCCTTTGTAGTCTTTCTTAATAATCCGTCTATGTCTGTTCTAATCAAAATTGGTCATTGCTCAAGTTGTTTTTGTAATATTTCAAGATTTATTGCTGGTGCGTTTTCAATGCTGTTCAGTATATATGGAAATGTCCCACCTTGTAACAATGCCATCACCGTGATTATGTGTCTTTTCAGGTTGAACTGTTGTGACTGAGACCAACACCTTATACAACCGGGAACAACTCTAAGATGGCTTCGACATCTCAACCTTATGGAAACGTATCCCCAGTGATCCAGAGCCAGTGTGCATCATACATGTACCTGGCTTGAAGTATGGCTCAATACAACTTCTGTGCAAAGCCAAACAAATTGGTGGCTCTTGGGTCATACTTAACCTGTGGCCTAAATTAACTCCAACTAGTGAATTTCCAAAGACTGTTTTTAACTCAGTACTAGGTGTATTGAAGATAAGCAAATTCTGTGGAAGCAGGATAGTAGTAATTTGATAGATCATATCAACATGTGGTTAGTAAATTATTTGCACTTGAGTCCTTTCTGTCATTTTCAAAGACTGAAACAAAATTACAGCAGGCAGAAACTTGAAATACACACGCTTCATATCGGGTCACTGAGATGTCCTCCACTTGTTCACACAAGAAGTGCCATCTCTTAACATCTTCAGGTATGTATCCAGGGATCAAACCATTGACCTTCCGCTGTCAGGGCAGACAATCTATCCACTATCCCACGAAGGCAGTTTCATGTGAGTAAATAATCAACTCAATCAGTGAAATCAAACTTTAATTTCTATATATTCTTGACCAAAGTTTTAGTAATGCAGTCTTAGTGCATTTATATCATGATCCAAGTTTTTCACTTATTTCTCTTCACTGTTCTGTGACCAGTCAACTCCAGGTCGACTTGTTCTTTGATTAAGTGACACTGATCTACTTCCTGGTGAACTCTTCCTTGCTAAAGTAGCACTTAATTTAACTTTTCCATCCATCATTTTAGAGGACCTGCCAGTGGCTACTGGCTGAACACCTACATTCATATCCTCTGAGTAATTAGTGTCTGGTGCATGACAAACTGTAATATCCCCAGTGCTCTTCCTTCTACCAGAGCCAGCTCTTGGTGACCTTCTTATCAAAGCAAACATTTCCTTAACTGACATAGGTTCAGAAGCTCTTGGCCATGGAGCCAAGAAATCTTGACTTTTCCCATCCAGTAGGGATGTTTTCCTTTGCTCCTGTTGGAAGTTTGACTTTGGATATGTTTTGTCATGCTTGGAATGAGAACAAGACAAGTTGGAATCACAAGGGACTTTTTTCCTTCCTTTTGGAACAAATACTTTATCACCATTTTCATTCACTGCCTCAAAGCCAGCTTTGATATACTCTGAGTCTGATTCAACTGAAGTTGCTACATTTTCACCACATTTCATTACTGTGTATTGCTGACAAGCTGATGACAATTCTGTGTTGCTATTATCATGGATTCCTTCTTTCTCAATCACAGACTGCTTTGATGTGAATCGAGATGACCGCATGCTATAACCAATACATTTGCTACCTTCACACGTATCTTTATGATTGCCTTCTCCTTGTGATTCCACTTGATAACTGTTCTTGCCTTCAAGTTGCAGGTAGGGTTTTGGATAGTAACCCTTACGAGTGAAAAGAGTTGTCATATTGTCACATTTCTGATATGGTCTTGTGTCAAAGTTGCGAGGTGAGTTACGGGTAGAAATATTGAACTTCCTGGCAGGATCAGGATCCTTCTCTCTTGACTTGTCTTGCTTGGTTTTCCTAGTTTGGGGAGCATCAGTATGTTGTTTATCTACTGTCTGTTTCGACAGTTTCTCATTTAAAGATTGCAATTTTGGCTCAGTCTGTATTTTTGAGGTTTCCCTATTAAGGTCAACAATGAGACTCTCTACTGATGAAAGACGATATTTTTCAGAATGTGTTCTCATAATGTGTGTGTTGCACTCAGATTTGTTATAACTGCTGAAGCGACACAATTTGCACTTAAATCGTTTCCATCCAAGGTGTCTGATAGCATGACGGCGGAGATTCGACACACTTGTGAATTCTTGTCCACATTTCTGACACTTTAGCTCTGCTTCATCAATAATTGCGGAGAGCTTTTCAGAATCCAGACAATGAAGTTTGCTGTCAGTATCTTCTTCCTTCACAATGATACGATTGGACTTCACCTGCAAATTAGATTACAAATGTGAGGAGAATTACCTTCTGAAAAGTTAACAAGCATGATATGTTCTATTGAGATCAAGACTGACTGAAGTCAGATAATACATTACTAGACATGATAATTTACAATTCAGATGCGAGGAATAAGCTGATTGCTATTTTTACTTATAAACCTCCAGTGATAAACCTTTGTATCTGTAGCCAGTGAGTGTACCACTGGGCTACAGAGGTGCTGATAAATCATAATGCTTTTAAGAATGTCTTTTTCAAGTAACGTACACCAGCAACATATTTTATGCCAGTTTCCAAGGTTCATGGAAAGTATGTTTGAAACAAACATGTTGATAAATGTTGTTTTAAAGTTCTTTTTTCATTTTTTAAGTTAGATAATACACTTCCCTTAGGTTTTTATGATATATAAAACCCTTATGCTTAGGATAAAACCTCAGGGCTGACACCTCTTGGTTTTGTCCCGCATATGCATGTTTTAAATATCATAAAAACCCTTGGACATGTTTTATCCTACACATATGGAACAGTATGACAAGCACAATCTTGATGTATTGATTGCAAAAATGGTTTATTAACATATAACAGCCAAACAATGTCAAATGTTTCAAGGCATCAATAGCAGTAATGTGATTGCGTGGCTGTTGTAAATAACAGTGAGTAAGTGCAAATGGTCAAACAGTACACACTGATGTATTAATGTAAAAAATAGTGAATGAAATTTTGAATAAAATTAAAAAATAGATTATAAACATAAAACTTGTCTAGTTATACAATGAACACTTTTATAACCAGATAGTGTAATAACAGGATTAAAGTGTGAACTTTAATACAGTGTATTTCCGAGTGAGTGAGTGAGGCCACTTTTAACAGTATTCCAGTTATATCACGGAGTGTCAGCTTAATGTGGGAGGAAAGCCAGAAGTGATGCAGGCCTCCGACATTTACCACTACGGTGAAACCCATGAGCATGGGTATGGTGCTGACAAACCTAGAAACATAATTGGAGCGAACCAGGATTCGAAACCCACAATCATAGGTTTCTGGCATGCCCAAGGGACGCAACTCTGCACAGCAAATCGCGGCACCTTAGGCAACTGGGCCACCTGTGCCCCCTGCATTGGGGGAAAAAAAAAATCAAAACTTATTTTGGCTTGTATACATGGTAAAGCATGCACCTCCCTGTACACAGCTGTTGGTTTTGGAAAAAAGTGTGTACTATTCTCAAGAAAACATGGTAATACACTGCCAGCTGGCAGGTACCTTTAGCCATCTCAGTAGTGTGAGTAAAAACACTTGGAGCAGTGGTTATCACCAGACACACTGGGGTTTTCATCACCACTTATGCTCCAGAAGAAAAAAATACGCTCATTTGAACTTAGTCCAATTTGTTGTCATTGAAACAAACAAAAAAACTATAATGTCCAAACTTCTTAAATAGCAAAAGGCTGGATTGACATCAGTGCTGAGTTTGATTAAGGAATATTGATCAGACAATGAGTTTGGAGGATGTGTGTCTTGTCAATTTCAAGGAAGTCATGGCATAGTACATTTTCCCCAAGGCAAAGGAGTTAACTGGCTGTTAAAAGTTCACTTTCCACCCTTGCTGAACTAGGCTGGAATTTCTGGGCTCGATCGTAGTGCAACCAATGGCTATTATGAGTTATGTCCCTTTTATGTCCCTCCTATTGACCAATCAGATTCCAGCTCTCATATCACTTGTATTTACTTCAAACAAAATGGCAGTGCTCAGTCAAGATGATATGATCGATAATCAAAAGCTATATTGTGGTAAAACAGGTCCTACTTCACGAAGTGCATCTTATCACATGAGCACCTTGAATAAAAGTCTTGAATGAAAAGATTGGGAAATTTCTGTTAACTCAGAGTTTTGCAAATCCTGTAATCACCCGATTGGCAGTTTATGAACCGGATGTTGATTTTGTTACCCGATTTTGAGTGGACGATGCATAGACTCATTAGTCCAGGCAAAATATAACTCCATAGTTCCAGCCTAGTTAAACAAGGGTGGAAACTGGACTTTTATGGTCAGTTAACTCCCTTACCTTAGGAAGATGGGCATAGTAATGATGAACCAAGTCTCTTTTTAAAATTTATTCTGGGCTGGCCCTCCTACATAACTGGGATAAACAAGAACTACACTTTGACAAGCCAAAAATATACTAATAGTGTCATGGCACTGTATATATACCTGGATATATACTGAACAGTTTAAGTTAGTTTGTTGTTTAACGCCGCACTCAGCAATATTCAAGCTATATGACGGCAGTCTGTAAATAATCCAGTCTGGACCAGACAATCCAGTGAATGACATCATGAGCATCGATCCACGTAATTGGGATCGATGACATGCATCAACCAAGTCAGCGAGCCTGACCACCCGATCCTGTTAGTCGCATTTTACGACAAGCATAGTCGCCTTTTACGGCAAGCGTGGGTTGCTGAAGACCTAGTCTACCCCAGCATCTTCACGGGTCCTGAACAGTTTAAAATGTCAACAAAGAATTAACAAAATTTATGAACAAATACAAAGGACACTTTAAAAAGAACACTAAAACCCTAATGACTTGAACAAAATATGATGTCATCATCAGGGGAAACATTTTCAATATTGAACACATCATCAGTGATGAGAACAAGACTTTGAATTTTCGGCTTAGTGCCTAGGTACTGAAGCTCACCTGGAAATGAAGTCAGCAGTTTTTACAAACTATACAAAATGAAATACGGACAGCCACTTAAAAGTTTAAAACTAAATTCCACAGATAAGAACAAATATTAAGAAATGTATATGTCAATGTTCAAATTCCATAGTCTGATAATTGCAAAGGAGAAGCTGTTTACAGAGTCATGTATTTTGATTGTAAAAACAAGGTCAACATTAAAACAAAAGCATGACATTCTCATATCCACCGCCAATATGATATCTGTCCGGTTGTGTGCAACGTAATAGCCCTTGTGAACTATGTCCACTGGAACTTTTCATAAATAGCCTAATTGCAAGCACTGAAAAAATCTGTTTACGTAACTGTATTTATGACGAGTTGTGTTATTACTCAAACAATATTAAGAGATATAAGGGAGTTCTTTCTTTACTTAGAGAGTATCCTTCAAATGAACATATATTTTTTTTATTTTAATAGTTTGCCTATATGCTCCAATTATTTGGGCATTTGTTCTTTTTAAGTTACAATCTGGAAATGAAAGCAACTTGTATTTGGGTAAAGTTCAATTTGTTGCCAGGGAAACAGCAAAACTCACAATTTCAGCATGTGTTCAATACAAATGCATAGTTTCATCATATAATACTGAACGGTTTCTGAGTTATGCTTTGGAAACGAATGCTACACATATTTCAGTCTCATTTCAGTTTGTTGCCAAGGAAACTCAAACAAAAAATTATTTTAGAAATACCAAAACATCAAAAGGCACCTGTTCAGTATTCTCCAGTTTCATAAAAATATATTTAAACGGTTTACGAGTTATGCTCAGGAAACAAAACATGATGGACTGACAGACAGCACCCATTCCTATTTCCCACTTCCACTTCGTGGCAGGGGATAATAAATAAACACATGTAATAAAAATTACTGAACAGGAGGACAAAGTCATCATTATCCCCCCTAATGGTAATTACTTTTTGTTAATACACCAACTACCTCTATTTTCCGTCTAAGTAAAAATTAATTTAAAACTTGAAAAAATAAAAAAAATTAAATCCAAAACTATCAACAGGCACCAGTTCACCACTTGGCCTTACCATATACTGAAAGAAACCTTCAATAGGAGGGAGGTATAACATTTGTTTGTTTTGTTTGATACTTCATGGCAAGGGGCATGGATACAGGAATGGGTGCTGTCCATCTGTCACTTATCCGGAGCCTAAGTTGGAAACCGTTTAATATTTTATTATAAAAAATTTGCAAATGTATCAGCAATATTGCAGCAATATGATGGTAGATTGTAAATTATCAAGTGATTGATGTAATGATCATGAATCAATGCAACTGGAATACCATGACGTGCATCAACCAAATCCGAGATCCTGACCATCCAATCATGTTAGTTGCCTGTTAAGACAAGCATGGGCTGCTAAAGACAAATTCTAACCCAGCTCTTCCCAGTTATGAACCTGAATATACTTTCTTTCTTCTTTTTTTGCCATTGTGTTGCTGTGGATGCACAATAGACATATTACACACATAATTCTGGTCACAAATAGTGATCATAGGATTCACTTGCTAACTTCTGTATATCACAATTTTGATTCAACTTATCACTTTCGTAAATTTGGCCAACAAGAGGAAAATATGCATGATTTTGAATGCAGTACATCAGTATTTTCCAAATGTATTGTGAGATGTATTCATCATTATTTCATATCATGGCATACCAAGTACAAGTCATGGGAACAAATCATGTGAAGTTTCAGTTTCTAAGAGATTGCTTTTGCAGTGCAAGCAAATACATCGTAAAAATATATAGAAGCATGATCAATGTTCAAAGGTCAAATAAAGATCTTGATCTCAAATGATGAACATGATAAACAGAGCGTGTGTTGAAACCCTCTATTCACCACACAAGAACCATATTTCATGTCACTTTGAATCAAAATGTCCGGCCATGAGAAGATTCAGCTTTCAGTACCGTTGAAGTGCACTTGTAAAATCAAAGTCAAAACTTAAATTCTGAAGCAAGTACGTTGAACCCCATAAATAACTAAATATGTATCATGTAACAAAATTAGAAAAATCGAAATATTGCTTACATTTGTATACCTATCTTGCATTGCTCATTAAACATCTACTGCTTACCTAATGTCTGAAATAGTGCCTTGCAGTGGTCCTAAACTGATGATAAAGTTGTTTCGAATCAAGTCAACTTCTGTCTGAGGACCAACTCACACAGCGGTCACGTGATCATGTGACGTCATGTTAAATGGTTATAATCTCTGTTTTGTGTTGTATTGAAATAA